ATGCTTGGATTAGCACTTTTATGATTGAAATATGATTCAAAGAAACGTAGACAAGCATTGCCTCGACAACATAGAGTGGATTTATTGAGTATTCTAGGTCTTCATTGTAAATCTGATTAGCTCGAAAAATTAGCTTCTCAGTGAAAGGTGGAATCGCTGTTTTTACGATTTCCCACCATAGGAATCTGGCCGCAAATTAGCGTTTGGTTAAGCCTATTAACAGGAATAATTTTCTTGCGGAGCTGGGTCTCAAATTGTGATCAAGGGATTAAAGACAAGTGTTTCATATATAAGATGTAGGAGAACTGGTTGAACTTCTGCCCCATAGCGTTGAGTTCAGGAACAGTCAGAAAAGAGCTTGAAAAAGTTCACGATATTTCCCGAAGTTCAACAAGGTAAAAGTTCGCGAGTCATAGTGAGTTTTGGTGAATATTATCAACACTACTTCTAAGGGTGAGAAAATCGCCATGCCAAGGATATTTTCGTATATCATGGAGTAAATCGAGCAAACTTGTTGAAAATTCTAAGTGATTAAGCAAGACTTATATGTAGTTTAATATCGAGATGGTTGCAGTTTCCTTCGTTACCGCGATTACAATTTGTGAATTTAGAAAAATGTGGTGCCTTCCCGTTTTTGACAACCGCGATTTCTTTTTTTTTTTGCATTCTATAAAATGTATCGATCGCTTTATTCAATTTGAAATTGTACTGGATCACTCTTCATGGTTTAGAGGTCCATGTGGTATTTCATGAAAAAATGTCCAGAAAGCACTACCCATCTAACAATTTGGGCTGCAGACTAGCTGATACAACTGAAAAATTATGCATCTAATTTGTGCCTGTATAGGCTGGTCTGCAGCTAGAATTGTATGTTGGGTAGTAAATATCCGAGGAAAGCAAATTGCTGATGAGGTTGTGTTGACAAAACCGTGTAGATATCGCACCTGGATTTTTTTTTAATTACTGGAAAATCAGGGAAAAAGGTAGAGCGCTACTTCATCGTTATCGCCCATTTCCGTTCTATCGATCAGAAAAGATCAATAATATCAATGATTTCACCATGCACAAAACAATAATAGGTTTGTTCCGATGCGTTAGTTCATTAGCTACAACATAAATTCTGTTAGAGCACATTGTATGAATATTTACGTTTTTAATTTATTTTTTGCTGTGTAGAACGAATTTATAATCAAGAAGCAGTATTAGATTTTAAACAATATCTCAACAATTGTTGACTCTTTATCAAATCCAACGGTACGTATGGAAAGGTGAATACATTTACAAGTCATCCTTGACATTAATATTCCCGTTAAAAAACAGAGGTAAAGCGCGGGTTGTGCTTAGTAGGACAGAAATTAGATCAAAACAGGGAATTTTGTTTTCTTCATTGAGTCGACACCCTGATTCTCATCATCCGTGAGCATATCCAATTGATTTCTCAAATTAATTTCATCAGAAGGGGGATCAAGAGATTGCCCTTTTCTTTTGCATTTAAGCAGAAAAACGTTTCTCCAAATCGACTTCCAAGCATATTACTGGAAGAATCCAAAGGATCGGAGAGGAATTTTTCAAAACGATGTCCAAGCAGGATTACCTTGGGTAGGGTCAAAAAAAACATATCTCGAAATTGGAATATCGCAACAGAGATGTGAAAAAATGTCACGCCATTTTTGAATTCCAAAGAATTTAAAAGATCGGACTGCAGCAGACTGAAATTCCAATTCCTTTAGCGTTCGGGAAACCCCCTCGGTAAAACCAAAGGGCAAACCTATCATATCAAAGATAAAGCAAACAATGTCCACTAAAATTGAATGAGAACTTTGAAAAGAAAATCCCCCGGCGCTAGAAATAGTCCTTAAAGCCTACTGCGAGCAGACAAAGACCGGACTGAACCAGTTATACAAATTGCTTCTTCTGGAAAGAGGGTACAAGTGTCCAAAATTTCAAAAGAAAAACCCCAGTCAGTGTAGTGATCTCAACTCGATCAGACGCTCCAGAATGGAATTTCCTCCGGTTTTGATCTTCCTCTGCACGTTGATCAGCATCAGTTCAACTGAGCAGGATTTTCGCTGTGGCTTGCCTCATGCAAGATCTACCTACCTGATCGTTAGTGGTCAGGATACCAGCCATGGTTTATGGCCGTGGCATGTTGCACTGTTTGTAAAGTCAAGGGATGGACAGATGCAGTACGCTTGCGGTGGAACCTTAATCAGTCGTCGGTATGTCTTGACTGCAGCTCATTGCGTGGTTAGTACCAATCCTCACCAATTGAAACGCAACGTGGCCGATATCACCGTGTTGGCTGGGGTGTATAATATAGATCATCCGGAGGAGTCACAACAGAATCGGTCGGTCAAGACGATTCACATGAACGGATATTCGAGGGATAGTTTCCTGCACGATATTGCACTGTTGGAGTTGCAGAATCCGATTGATTGATTGACAATGAGCACGTTTTGCCAGCTTGCCTGAACCAGAAAGCCACGCTGCGATACGAAGTAGGAACGGTGGTTGGCTGGGGGTATGGGGAGAGCGATAGAACGTCGCCTACTCTGAAGAAGCTCACACTGCCAGTGGTAACGGAGTCGGAGTGTTTAAAAAGCGATCCGGGGGTTTTCGAAGATGTGCTCAATAATGAGATGTTCTGCGCTGGTTATGCTAATGGTAGGTTTAATCAGGGCCCCGGAATTTGAATTTTTGATTTTTTTTTAAATTTCAAAACAGGTTCTGCGCCCTGCAATGGCGACAGTGGTGGCGGTTTGGTAATGCAACAGGGTGATGCTTGGCATGTTGCCGGCATTGTATCGTTTACAAAGTCTCGCCGCGCTGAATCTCGACTGTGTCTGACTGAGTCATACACCGCGTTCACGAATGTCAGTGCCTACTGGGGCTGGATTGAAAACGTCACAAATATAGATTTTAACAATCTTTACAATGAAGAGAGTAAGTATCGGTAAACTTAAAACAAAATCTGGATCTAGTATCATATTCCGTTTCCACTCCAACAGAGAACGTACCGTGTACAACGCCTACTGGGATACAGGGAACCTGTGTGCCACTCCAGCAGTGCAAGCACATATTCAACATAATTCGGGCATCGGTCATTTCTCAAAATGACGCCTACTTCATCAATGATTCGATCTGCAAAATCGGCGGAATTCTACGGGCTGTTTGTTGCCAGCAGGACCAGATAGAGCCTATACCGCTGCATCCAAATGCATTACTGTTGCCCGTCGATTGCGGTCGATCTTTTATTCGTTCCCAATCTGAAAACAAGCAAGATACGTCCACATTTTTGCCTGTGGACTTGGAGACATACTTCAAGTCCCCGCGTACATCGTACGGGCTAGGCAAAAATGTGCGTCATCTTGAAAACTGTCGCTTAAATGGCCCTTCGCTCATTTTCAACTTCTATTCAATTTTCATACTGCCGTACTCTAACAGAACTATCCACCTACATTCTTCTAAAGATCATTCTCTAGCTAATAAATCATCACACTAAAGCTTCATGTTAGCATTTCCAACCAACTCTGAAAATCGTTAACTTCGCGTATGAAGTAACATAAAAAAAAAAACACTTTGAAAGATACGTCAGTTATCGAGTTTCCCTGGATGGCGATGGTACGCTACCAGAAGAAGAAGAACGGAGCTATTCCGTTCTGTCTGGGAACACTGATCAACCAGCGATACGTCCTATCCATGATTGGGTGTATGAGCAAACTCAAAAAAATTAAAGTGTAAGAATATTTCGACAGTAAGCATGCATAAGGGCGTCTACGCGATGATCGATTCTCTTCATCGATTTTCTCTTTGCATTGCTACAGCTAAACGAAACAATTTTCTAGAATTTGTTAAATGCAGAGTTGTAACAGGTTGTGTTGCCTATCAAAAGCAGCAGTAAACGCACCAAGAAACGTTAATTCTAGCGAGTCATTAACACAAGAGAAAATCGACGAAGAGAATCGATCATCGCGTTTACGCCCTTATGCATACTCACTGTCGATTTGTGTCTTCATAAAAATCAGATTAATCTAAAAAATGGAAAATTTCAGAGATCAAATCCGTTTGGGTGAACACAAGGAGTCAACCAATCCTGACTGCGGAATCGACCATGGCGGTGAACAATTCTGCGTGGGTCCTGTGCTGGACGTCAAAATCGAATCAATCGTTCACCATCCCTTGTTTGACATCCCCGTGTACAGAAACGATGTTGCATTGATTCGAATGGTCTCGGACATATCATTCACCGGTAACATCCAACCGGTTTGCCTGCCGTTGTTTTCCCCGCACCGATCTACGATACCGGAGGAGCTAATCATGACCGCGTGGGAAATGGACCTCATGAAGGGAAATGTCTACCGTGGTGAACTCCGCCGTTATTCCAATAAACTGGTGAGCCTCGACAAATGTCATAAGGCCTACGAGAAAATTGGATTCATTCCGGAGTCGCCAATCCAGTCGGATCGAATATGTGCCCTTCCGCTGGGACCGGAGTTCAATTGTGAGCTGATTCATGGAGCTTCAATTGGAGCTTACGTGGATATGGACGGCGAGCGATTTGTTCTATTCGGTCAGTGGAAGTTTGCTCCACAAAATTGTACTTTCCGGAGTGTCATTCCTGGTTTAGCCATGAGCATGGGTTACTATTTGCAGTGGATTTTGGAGAATATTGAACCTTAGCTGTTCGTGACTGGAGTGCGTGCAGCTTGGATTTGTTTGCCGAGATCTCAGTTTTACTGAGCGTTGAAATTCAGCAAGCAAACGTAATTTTTTGTTGTGATTTCTGCCCTGCTGCTCGGAGGTGCAAAATTACTGAAATTCGGCATCTAGAGCTAAACTTGAACGGAAATTTGAATTTTATATTATTAAGTGCGGTAGGTAAGCCATGCTATAAAATAGTGAAAAATAAAAATCTCCAGAAAATGTAAACTTTTTATTTAGAAATTGTATTTGTTATTCAAAATAAAATCTGTTGATGAATTTTACTCCTTAGAAAACATGATTATGTTGGACAAATTCCAAATCACCTTGCCAATCTCCTCACGCCTCTATATTGTCCGTAATCCATTCCATGTATTCGGTGATGCGCATTGCGAGGATTGGCACCGTTTGGCGAGCGGTGCAGTTGAGTGGCGCAAATTTGGCCATAGCAAACTGGACATGTCGCTGGGTTCCTTCAACGTCCACCACTGCTCCGATCGGTGCTCCTGCCATCCGAGTGCACACATAGTTCGGTCCCTTTTGACGGGCACAGAATCGGTTGATCTCAAGCTCCGGAGTGAAGCCAATCTTCTCGTACTCTCGCTGGCAGGCATCCAGATTGTAGTTCTCGACCTGGTACTTCTCCAACTCACCAACGTAATGCGTCGGGACGTTCATTTCCAGCTCCCAGGCCGTCAACAGCAGATCGTGTGGAATGGCATTGAGCAACTCCGGAGTCGTGGGAAGACAAATCGGACGAATGTAATCATTGTACTCGACTTCACGGGACATCCGCATCAACGCCAGGTCATTGGTATACATCGGTTGATCAAACTCCGGATGGGAAACGTACGATTCGATCGGAATGTCCACCACCGGACCAGCGCATTCCTTACGCTCGGAACCATCGCTCTGCTTCAGCTCACTGCAATCAGGATCCGTTAGCGCTGACTGCTCTCCCAATCGAATGTAATCCCTGGAAATAGATTTTCCCAATTAAAAACTAGCGTCTATCTGAAACCTGTTAAGCAAGCAACTTACGGATCCTTCTTCGTCTTCCTCACGCATCCGATCACCGACAGCACGTACCGCTGGTTGATCAACGTCCCGAAACAGGTCGCCGGTCGGCGAGTCTTGTTAAACTTTACCAAAGCAATCCATGGAAATTCAAACACCTTACTCAAGATGCCAGTTGGATACGGAGGGTACTTGGCAACGCCGCACTCCTTCGGCAGGAGCGCCAACTTGGATGGATTCAACTTGACCGGTTCCCGCTGGGCACCCACTTGGATGGCCGCGATGAGCGCTATCAAACAAACGAAAATCTTCATTCTGGAACTCTTATAACAACGATCCGCTTTGAGCAATGTCGCTGCTAGGACTAAATGGCACGATTTGCGACGATGACGACGTCGGCGGTGAACAGTGAAATACGAATGGAGTGAGAATCAAGAAGTTGTAAATTGTGGGATTTTTCCTCCAACCGGTTGAGCGAGTGGATTGAAGACAGAGTGTGCGAAGTGACGATGCTGTTGATTTGGTTCTAGGTGTTCTTCAAATAAGATTTTTGGTTCTTCCCCTTGTGCTTCATGCGTCAATTCATGGCTGTTGTTCGAACAAAACATCTTGCGTGGTTCTTCAGATGGCACATTTTGAAATCATCCCATGAGAACATTGCCATAATTAGTTGTAATTACTACATCCTTGAGTTTAATATTGTTTTATGTCAAGTAAGTTATAAGCTATTGGAGTCGGTATTTACAGCTTACACTGATTCTTCAAAGCATCAAATGGATTGGTGATGTGAGCATCGAACAAAACTGGCCAAGTAGAATGTAATGATTACCCGCATAAGCGCGAACCATAAATTGACCTTACCTAAAATGTTTATAAATTGTTTATAATCCCTGCTAAACTTCAACTGAAATGGTTATGGAACTTTACATGAACGTTTAATGATAAAGTTTTAACCTTAAGTATTATAGTTTTTTGGAAGTGGACCTTACAAATAATGGGTTGTTAAGAACCATTACCATTCAAAATTCTTGTTTTCTCCATACATTTTCTGAAAGAAAACTATACTAAAACCTTTTAACTTATGGTTTGAGAACATTAATGGTAATGGTTATGGTAACCAGTAAGGTCCATGAATGGTTTTGTAACATCGATCAACTTTATGTGGAATATATCGCAAATTGGTTGCCTGTAAATTACTGATTACCAATTCACGATATATTTCACGTAAAGTTGAGCGATAATACAAAACCATTAATGGACCTTACTGACTACCATAACCATAACTATTAATGTTCTCAAACCATAAGTAAAAACGTTCTAATATAGTTCTCTTTCCGATAATGTATGGAGAAAACAAGAATTTGGAATGGTAATGGTTCTTAACAACCCATTATTTGTAAGGTCCGCTTCCAAAAAACCATAATACATAAGGTTAAAACTTTATCACACAAACGTTCATGTAAAGTTCCATAACCATTTCAGTTGAAGTTTAGCAGGGATTATAAACAATTTATAACCATTATCGGTAAGGTCATGTGATGGTTCGCGTTTATGCGGGTAGTCCATTCAACCTCTATGATTAACTATATAATAGATAACCTTGTACATACCAGAGTTGATAATAGAAGAGTTACGTAGAGTGAAGCTTGCTACACTGATGTCGATCAATGGGTATTTTTTTTCATTTTGGAAGCCTTTGTATTTGTTTATACCTCGGATGACTTCACCTGGGTTGTGAAATTTTCCTTCGTTATACAATAATGTTTCCCATGCAACAGAGTCAGTTTGTCTACTTATGCACGATAGGTAGACGGTTTGACAGTTCGATGGGTAGAATTTGGTTTCAGTCTGCGTAACACTTCTATTATCAACTCTGGTACAGCCAAACATACCTTAGGGGCTCTTAATAATTTACGTAGACCCTTTTTCTAGAGGTATTAGACCCCCTGCTGGACAATCGACCATTTACTTCTTTAGAATTTTTTTTTTTGACCGTAGGCACTCGAAACTTTTCCTAAACAATCCCCCCCCCCCCCCCCCCCCTCACACAACTCAAGCAACAAACCGGTGGAAACTAACGATTTTAAAATGGCTCACTACTTGACTAGCCTATTGGTCCCAAGCAAATCGATTAACGAACCCCATTCTAGTCAGAATTCTAGTACTACACTAAGTTTGTTTTGATTCGCTATGAAAGTTTGACAGATAAAATGAGGGGTTCGTGGATATTTGTATGTTTCGAGGGGTGCATCGATTAGCTTGGGGCCGAAGAGAGTACCAGAGGTGAGCCAAAAAGTTGAGAACGTTTCTTCGGTACCTTCTAGTCTTAGAGTTACCTCAATGCTACTAGTCCTAAAGTTACCTCTATGGTATACTGCTTGGATATCGATTTGGAAATCTCTTCTTCGATCCTTCGGATTCGTAGTAATCTGCTTGGAAGTCGATTTGGAGAAACGTTTTTCTGCCGCCATGATGCCTAAATTAAAAAAAGGGCAATCCCTTGATCCCCCTCTTCATGACATTTATTTGAGCAATCAAAATTCCTTTAAACATGCCAAGAAGGAAAAGGTCCTCCCTATTGTGATAACCACTTCCGATTTCCATGTTCTTCGCAAGGAACTTTTGAAATCCGTTAAATTCAAGTTTCCACTTCATATTGGTCGTCGGGGTGAATGCCGTGCACGGCTGAAACCTTAAATGGATTCATACGGCTTCTCAAGTATCTTGCTGAGAAGCAGCACCAATTTTTCACTTACGACACCAAAACTGAATGTCTGTTCAAGGTTGACTTGAAAGGTCGGCCCAGTGGTGAATTCCTGTATCAGATCAAAGAACAAAACATTGCTACATGACAGCTAAATGCATGAATTGTGGTGATTCCTCTTACGCAAAGGACGGTTGTCCTGTCAAGAAAGATCCTAAGAAATTGAAATGTTAAAATTGTGGTGAAAACAAGGGGTGGTCACTCTACACATTTATTTCGCGCAACATTTTTTCACAGTGTGCCACAGCTGTACCGGCAGTGCCGAGAAGTCATTGAACTGACTTCTGTTTGCTTGTGAATAATGCCTTGTTTGGCAACCCGGTATTTTAACAGCGCTTGTTTTTGTTTTCTTTTTCGAAACCTGAGATGACCCGGGAGTAGGAAGAACATTTACGGACCTTGTGGGTAGAGTTTCACCACCGGTTGGAAACTAACTTTTTAAAATTGGCTTAACTACTTGACTAGCCTATTGGTCCCAAGCAAATCGATTAACGTATTCCATTCTAGTCGGAATTCTAGTACAACACTATGTTTGTTTTGATTCGCTATGGATGTTTGACCGATAAAATGAGTGGTTCGTGGATTTTCCTATGTTTCGAGGGGTGCATCGATTAGCTTGGGACCGAAGAGAGTACCAGAGCTGAGCCAAAAAGTTGAGCACATTTATTCGGGACCTTCTGGTCTTAGAGTTACCTCAATGGCTTCACCTAGTACGAGTCTACGTTGAGTTCCAGGTTTTTCAACAGGTTCCCTCCTCTTTGCTTGCCCGTGTATGCTAGTAAACAAAGCTCAATTCCAATGATCATGGCGTTCAACGGAAACGGTGCCGGTGGTGACTAGGAGATAATCGAGACGGTTCCGCTCAATAGCCGGAACAACAACAACATCAACGTAACAGATGAGCCTCGGCGAAAGCGCGAGGTAGCAACCCGGCCCAACCATATCCTGCTGTTCAGCATCATTAATCCAGTCTATCCTATTACCAACAATCAATACGAAACTAACGATTTTAAATTGGCTCACTACTTGACTAGCCTATTGGTCCCAAGCAAATCGATCACGTACCCCATTCTAGTAAAAATTCTAGTACAACACTATGTTTGTTTTGATTCGCTATGAAAGTTTGACAGATAAAAAGAGGGGTTAGTGGATTTTCCTATGTTTCTAGGGGTGAACCGATTAGCTTGGGACCGAAGATAATACCAGAGCTGAGCCAAAAAGTTGAGCACATTTATTCGGGATCTCCTGGTCTTAGAGTTACCTCTATGCTATTACAGTGGACGTTCTTCACACCAGCTGCTCACCCAACGGAGAAGTGCAACGTATCAAGATATTCAAGAAGAATGGAGTCCAAGCTATGGTTGAGTTTGACAGCATTGAATCCGCCACCAGAGCCCGCGATGGCTGTGACACCTACTCCGGTTGCTGCACACTGCAGTGTGCCTTAGGGTGTTTCATTTTGAAAAAAGTGATGAATTTTTGATAGGCCACCCTCCAGTTCGATTCATAGCCCCAAAATATGAACCTGTGCAAAAAATGGTAAAGATTGATGAAGGTTTAGAGGTCGCGCCAATGATTTGGATTTTGTATGGAGATTTTGGTGAATTAGTATGGGAAATTATTGATTTTCGTTTACATTGCTCTAACTTTGGTTGTAGTTGTCCAAACGTTGAAAAAAAAAAATATGTGGTTGTCATGACAATGATCAACAAGCCTGTTGTTGTTGCGATGAAATTGGCGTTGTTGCCTTGTACATATTCATCTGTCAATTTACCCTATTTTGCCATTTTTTCACATTTTTATAATTCTTGATACGCTGCAAAACTGAGCGTAGCAACTGTAGGCTTTTTGTTTATTGCCATAGCAATAACATACTAAATTTTTTCGACATTTGGACAAGTAGAAGCAAAGTTATAGCGATATAAGCGATTTTTTAAATTCTTCCATAGTAATTCCCATACAAATTTCAAATCATTGGCGCGACCTCTAAACCTTCATCAATCTTTACCAATTTTTGCACAGGTTCATATTTTGGGGCTATGAATCGAACTGGAGGGTGGCCCTTCAGAAATTCATCACTTTTTTCAGAATGAAGCACCCTAGTGTGCCTTCATGAAGATCGACTATGTCAAGCCAGAAAAACTAAATGTTTACAAAAACGACGTGGACTTCAGTTGGGACTACACATTGGAAGCAGCCGTCTCCAAGGATGCCTGCAACGGAGGAGTCCCGTTGCTACACGATCCAACTGTTGATCCTACCATCTTCGGCAGAAGATCCACCCCGTACAACGACCGGCAATCATTAGTCAACCATGGTCTTAAACCAGCCCTTCTGGGAGCCGGCGGATTAAACGGATTTGCACCGAATTTTTCACCGCCTGACCCGAAACGGACCAGCCAACTTCATTCAACCGGCACAGCAACAGGGTGCATTGATGATGGTCTACGAACTCGATAAAAACACAGCCATCATTGATAAACTGTTCAATCTGCTCTGCCTGTACGGAAATGTAGTCAGGATAAAGTTCCTGAGGAACAAAGAGCATTCAGCATTTGAACAACATTCCAATCGGTAATGATGGTAGGGGAAACGCTCCTATAGTTGCGGTAC